TTCAATTCTGATTAAAAACCTGTTGCTATGCGTGTTGCTAGGCAGATCAAATTTACCCAGTTAAAGAAATTAACTTATATCTTAAGAACTCAATCTTACTTTAAGAAATGGTTTTCAAAATCGAGTTCAGCGATAAATTTCGTGTCAGAATTACACAAAGTATTTTTTTTGATTTTTTTATGATTTTTGAGGGGTCTCTTACCTAAACTCTAACTTCGGATCTTTCTTGGAAACCGTACATCAAATCCATTGCAAAATTAGCTTTTGCTTAGGTTGCATCTCTTTATCATGCTTGCCGTTTTCTTACTCCGAATTATATTCTTTATCTCTATAAATCTCAAATCCATTCTTGTATGGAATACTGTTGCCATATCTGGGGCAAATCTTCTAATGATGCCTTTTCTCTTTTAGACAAGGTGTAAAAATGTATTGTAAATATAGTTGGACTTACTCTTGCAGCCAACCTCAAACTAATGTCACATCTTTGTAATGTTGCTTCTCTTTCTCTTTTCAATAAATACTATAATGGGCACTGCTCTAAAGAGCTAGCGTCTCTTATGCCACCAACTAAAATTCATTATCGTGTTACTCGTTATTAACTAAGTCTCACCATTTTACTGTCACTGTTCCTAAGTGCTCCAAAAACTCTTATTCGTCTAGTTTTTTTCTTCAAACATCAGTGTTTTAGAACTTGCTTTCTTTATCTTGCTTTCCTGATTCATATAATTTGCAACTTTTTAAATCATCTGTCAATCGTTATCTTGCTCTACAATCTTCATCTTTTCTTTTCCAGTATCTTCCAAATCTTATAGTCGTTACTTGGAGCTTTGTTGGAAGGAAAGATGTAAACAAAAAAAAATAGTAATCAGAATTAACAGCTGCTAATACCATCTATAGTAATTAGAATTATTAGCTTCTATATAATTAAGTGAAATATCTAATAATACTAATTCGACAATTAAATATCTAATAATACTAATTTGACAATTAAATATCTAATAATACTAATTCGAAAATTAAAACGAGTGTAACGTATCAGTTTATAAGAGTATCATAACAAAAATATTCAAGCAGCATTCAATTTAAATGTTGTAGCAGTAACTAAAGCAACGAATAATAAATAAACCGCGAGACCAACATTATAATAAGTTAAATTGACCACGTCAATTTAAATGTAACAAGTGATAAAGAACCAACCCTTTCAATCTTAAACAGCCTTGAAATTCGTAAAGAACAAGTTAAAAAATTACAAGAATAATGAAAAAGGCAACCAAACACCAACAAAGACGTACCACCAAACACATACCACCGATACTCTGTGTAGAGACAGAAAAAACAGGATTAAAGGAGGTCACACTATCATCTACATAAAACAAATTGAAAGTTTTATATTCAAATAGCAGTGTAGAATACAAGATTATTCATTTCCAACTGATGCACAACAAATTGAAAAAACAGTTTTATCAACTGTTATAAGCCACCAAATATTAATTCTCAATCCTCTAATAACTTTGTAGAAAGCTGATTACAAATCTCAACCAAAAGAAACCAGTATATATAATTGGTAATCTAAATCAAGATCTCAGCTCCTATGATGGAATGGAACTGAATGTTTCTCACTAATAACAACTTAAAAAAATAATTTTTATAAACCAACTAAAGTTAAAACTAAGCTTAATAAAAAATACAACAAATACAAAACATCTTAAAATAAGATTGATGTTTTATAAAGTAAAACTTTAGCAAAGTTAAAAACGCTTGTCTTAGAAACATCGTTTAGTAATCACTGTACAGTTTTTGCAGCGATTGATGGTATTAATGAAATAGTCAATTACTCAAAAACAGTGAAACTAAGTAAGAAAAATACAAAAATCATATTCAAAATAATCAATAACACTAACTTTCAGTTCAAAAAAAAATGACAACTCAATGAACATGTGGAACTACTTCAAACTCAACATTATAAATATCTTAAATGACATTTCAAAAAAGATGATAAAAATACACATCAAGAATAAAGACATCAATGAATGTTTCGATAAGGAGTGGAAAAATCTGAAAAAGTTATTAATTATCATTTTGGTTACGTAAAAACGAGATTTATCAATTTTTCAATTATTTAAAAAAACGAGAAGAGATTTTACTAAATTAAAAAATGAAAATTCAACAAAGTATTTGATAAATAAAGGACAGAAAAATTTTATTAACTTAATAGACTTTTGTGGTTTCTACTCAAACTTTATCAAAATTAAATCAAGTATCCTTTTCTGATTAATTACTTTACAACATCAAGAAGGCTCAAACGCTGAAAAATCATTATTTTCAACAAATCATTTAGTACATTAGTTAATGATTCTTATAACTTTATTATCAATCTTTTCAATAATCATAAAATATCTAACAAGATTAAAAATAAGTAAATTTTCTTATTTCTTCCTAATAGTAAATCATCGATGTGATTAAAAACTCAGAAGAAAAAAGCTGCTGTGATTATTCAGATATTCCAACAAAAGTTATTAAAAAGTAAAAACCAAATACTTACGTTAAATGAAAAGGTATTAAAGTTCTGCTAAAAGTTTCTTTTAGAATAGATAACAATTAAAATATTTGATAAACTTGTTAATTATTTTGTTATTTATTAATGTATTTATTTTGTTATTTTAATAAAATAATATCTTTATATTGTAAATTTTTTATTTTTGTATTTACTTTTGCTTTTAAATTTTTGTTTATGTTTTTATACTTTAACTAAAATAAAATTGAAAAAAACTTTAAATAATAATAAAAAATAACAATAAAATGGTTTCGTTAAATTTTTTCATTTTACAAATCAATTCTTAAATCTCATTCTTTGAAATGCTAAATATTTTAAACGACACGTGTTATCTTTTCTATATATTATTTCAACAGACATATCATATCATTTATAAAAATTTATAAAAAAGCTGATATTTTTTAAAAATGTATTTAACTACATTTAATCTAATGATGTTATATTTTCTGGCACTTGGTAATAAAACTAAGTTTATTCTCTTCTAGCCCCAGTCATTATTACTAAGTAAATTTATCAATTATATTTAATTTGTTTCATTGAATTAAAAAAGTATGAAGAACTGTATGTAAATATTTAAGTAATAACAAATAATGCTTACTTAACTTGAAACGTGGGGGCGGTTAAATAAATAGCGTTTAAACTCTTGCTCCACCCCATGCATTTACAAACATTTAATATAATTTTTAATTTTATTATTAAACATGAAGTTAAATTTAGCAAAAGTTATGAAGATAACGATTTTTAAAGCGGGTTTATCAGTAGTTATAATTTTTTTAGGTTTACGGTTTGTGTAAATTCATTGCAAAATTGCTAATATGAAATGATATTTAAAATATATTGTTTTATTCAACTCTTAGGCATATTGAAAAAGTAATAAGTTTTTGATTACAATGCAGTTTACTTAACCATTGTTTTTAAAATATAATGTTTGCAGTATTTAATATATTTGTATTAAAGCAAATGTTTGTTAATTTATATATATATATATATATATATATATATATATATATATATATATATATATATATATATATATATATATATATATATATATATATATATATATATATATATATATATATATATATATATATATATAGCCCTAAAACGATCTGACTTTTTTGGGCGTTTTAACTCACTATAATTGCACTAATGCCAAACTTTTGCTACCCTTACTATTTTTTCTTCACTTTATTGGAGGAGGGGATTTTTATTTTATTATAAGCAACGAGTAACAGATTTGTTTTGACAGATAACTTTATTAGGCTAAATGATTTTACAATGAAAACTGAAACTACTTAACCACAATATAATTTTGTTGCTCAGCAAAAATTGGATATATTTAATGCTAATGGCAGGATAAGCATTTTGAGCGGTCCACTACAGTTTTTCTATACATAGTGGACCATTAGTGGCAGCCGCCAAAAGTGGTTAGTGATGATAAGCCAATATATTACATGTTGGAAAGTTATACGCTGACCACTTATAGCGAATGGTCCACTAAGCAAAAGATAAGCAAAAGTTCTTATGATTTTCTTAAAAGTCTATATATGTCCATTGCAAATCTACTACTACAATACCTGCTGGGTATATTAGGGTGCTGTTTTTAATGGGCAATTGTGATAAAAATTAGATTATAAAAATGAAATATATGGGTCTGTTAAATATAGGGGTCTAATTAAATATATAGGTTTACCTCACAAAAGAAATCAGACTGTATCAAAGTTAAAAAAATCATTAAAAAAAAAATTATGTGAAAAAATATCATCAAAAATCTTGTGAAACTATTTTGATATAATTTTGAGACCCAGGTTAATACACTTTTAAAGGGCCTTTTTATTTGTCATAATATTAGGAAAACCCTTAATGTTCAAGCAAATCTAGTAACTAAATTGATTTTTTATAATATCAATAAACTATAGCAGTTGGTTTGTAATTTTTTAATTAAGCAATCAGTTTGTGACCGATTTAGCAAACTGGTTTTAGAAATGCAATAAAAAATGGCATATTTAAATATCAATTGAAAAAAAAATTATTAGAATATAATTAATTAAACATGTTATATATAACAAAATGTTATATATAACAAAATCACTCTTGAATTATGTAAGTTCTTGATTTAAATTAGCATATTTTTTAAACGTAAAGTTTTACGCAGTTGCTTTCAAACAAATGGCATCACCAATAACTAAATAACTTTCAAGACAGCCCAAATCAGATACAACTTTAGAGTTTTATTACCATTCAGGAAGCAGATGCTCTTATGAAAATGGCAGATTTTTATTTTATATGCAAAATTTATTTTTACTTTATGTGGTTAAAATGGGAACTTTTCTTTTCAGACAGTTTAAAGTTTATTTTTGCGAGAAGCAAATATCAATGTTCTATCAAAGAATATATTAGAAAAGTTTTTTTTATATTTCTCTGTTCTAATAATAACTTTTTTTTACTCTGGAATCTCTTTATCGCTTTCTCTTTTTTTAATTAAGATGAATAAGCGAAGCAGTTTTCATGATCTACGAAAAGTAAGAACAACAGATAGAGTCATAATAAATGTCGGAGGAGTAAAGCATGAATGCTTTATACATACAATAAAAGCTTTTCCAGACACTCGTTTATATTGGATTGCTGAAACCGCTTTAAAAGTAAAAGATTTTGATCCTGGATCTAATGAGTTTTTTTTTGATCGCCATGCTGGTTGCTTTCAGAATATTTTAAACTACTTTAGAACAGGGAAGTTACATTGTCCAAATGATGTTTGTGGACCACTTTTTCAACAGGTTTTCAAAATATGTTTTTTTTAATAAATTAATTATTTTCAAGTTAATATTTTTTTTAACTTTCTTTTTTAAAAAAAGCGTGTTTAATTTTAGAATCACGCAAATAAAATAATGTTTAAAATTATAAAAATCTAAATTAATAATTATGAGACTTTTTTACTTTGATTTGAGCAAATTACAAATCCATTCTTTTTTTTTTATTTTTTTTAAACTTTTAAATATTAATTTACAACCATATCGTCTCAATAAATAACTTTCCTTAAAGTAATTGCGGCATAATTACCGCTTCTTTAAGTGTGCAAAAAAAAAAAAGACTTTTTTTTTAAATTTATTTACGTATATAAATAGAACATTTTATTTTTACATTGGACGTAATTACTGGAAAAGTGAAGCACATTCGTCAATTTCTAAAAAAATTCCTTAAAACCTAAAAATTTCTTAAAGTAAAAAAAAAGGTCCGTTAAAAAAAGTGTGTGCGTGTGTGGAGGTAGGGGGACAGGGTAGGGGTGGGGATCAGTGCCCCCTGACCCTTTTTGTGTCATCGGGATTGGTAATTACTATATTAATAAATTATTAAACTAGTTGTTAAATAATTCGTCAAAGTGTTCTCTTTTTTTATTTTATAAAAGTTACTTATAAATAATTTATAAATATAAAACTAAAATTATAAATATAAAAATAAAATCTTATTTTAAATTTGCATTGACATGATTTTTACAGTTTCTTGCTGTCCGTTGTCACAGCTATGTTGCTCATACAGCTAAAATCACAAACTTTTTTGATTCCAAAGTCCTCCTCTTAGCACTTGCACTATAGTCGCTTCCTAATATGTTTAAAAAACAGTTTGCCAAAACAAATAAATTTAATTATCTTAGATCTATAAACAAAAAACTTATTATGTTATATTTTTTAAATTTTAATCTTATAAAATATTTTGAATGAATCCTTTTTTATGATATATTGTGTATAAATGAAAAATAAATAAAAATATTGAGTATAGAATATCAAAAAAATATTCGAAAATTGTACTGCTACTTATAAAGTGACGTTTTAGTTACTAAATTATAAAAACTATTATTTTTATTGAATTTTGGTACTTTTATTGAATTTTGATACTTGATAATTTTGAACTTCTGTTTCTTAATTAATTATTCATAAAATGGCCTCCTATTTTTGTTAATATTATTCTGAATATTAAAGTTATTTTATAACCTTATAGTAAATTCCCCACCTCTTGAGTGGAATAATTATATTGATCTAATAGGTAATAATTCACACACACACAAAATGTTTTTTTTGTTGTTTTTGTTGTTCTAAGGTACAATAAATAAAAATAGACTATATTTAAAAATTTAAGTCAATTTAAAATAGTTAAAATGAGTATGATGTTATAATTAAGATATTATGTTTGTCAATAATTATTTTAATAAACAGCCATTAATGTAATAATAGGAACTCGAGTTTTGGGGAGTTGATGAACTGATGATGGAACCTTGTTGCTGGGGAAACTACACGCAGCATCGAGATGCTCATAAAAATTTAAAAATGTTTGATGAAATGGTTAAAAATGAGAGTAATGCTTACGAAGAACTCGATAATAGAAAATACAGCTATAGCAGTAGTTGTTGGAAACAAACCATTCAAATTTATCGACCAACAATATGGGCACTGCTAGATAAACCATTTTCATCAAAATATGCACAGGTATTGATGAAAAAGTTATTATCAAATAATTTTATATAAAGGATATAATTTGAAATTGCAATTTAATTACAACTTAATCATTTTTGTTTTTTAAAAGAAAAAAACAAAAGTGATTAAGTTGTAATTATATTAAGTTGTAATTAACACTTTCCCTAACATAATCACGGCATAATATTCGCGATTGCTCAAAAAGAATGAACATTTTTATTGAAATTTTTATTTAAATTTTTATGAAAATTTATTATGTGCTTGGCCGAATATATTAATAAGATATTAAATTAAAACAAAGCCACTTTAAAGAAACTTTTTATAGTGAAAACAAGATATTTTTATTGTGAATAAAATATTAATTTCTTTAGTTTTTATAGTTCAAACTTGCTAAATATTTTAAAAACATATGTAAACAAATATTAATATTAAAAAGTTTTATACTTTATATTAAACATTTATATCGCTAATATTTATATTGATAACATTTAATTTTATGGTTAATAATTTAACTAATTTTTATACTTAAGTTAAGAAATTAGTTTTGTTAATATCTGAGGAGAGTCTGGCTAAACTCTTTAGAGCCAAAAAATATTGTCTGGAAAAAGAACTTTCTGGAAAACATTAAAAAGCAAAAAAAGAATTCTCAAAAATGTTTAAAAAATTATTTTTTTTAACTCAACCTAAGAAATTTAAAAGTTTTAACTGTTAAAGGTTAGAAAACTTTATTAACTTTGAAAACTAGTTTTAGAAGATGTAGAGTATAACAAATGTCTAATAAATGTTTAATCAGTATTTTACACATATAACTGATATTGATATAACTATTTTAGTAATAAAGTTTCTGCATTTACCGATTTTGTTTTTAATGTATATATGTTTTTTGTTATTTTTGCAGTGTAAATATATACTTCGTAAAATATAAACAAATTATACAGATAGGATTCATTTAATAATTAATTGTAAAGAACAATAAATTTTGTGCAATATATAAAATATATTAAAATGAATGAAAAGTCAAAAATAAAGAGTTTAGAATGTGAATTTAAAGTAAACATTAAAACATTTATAATTTATGATTAAGAATTCTTAAACTTATTTACTAAGACAAATTTCAAGAAAAAAAACAAAAAATGAAACTAGAAAAAACAAAAAATTAAGTGATTTTTTCTTTATAAAATAGAATCTACACTTTTCATGCTTGATTATATCATGCATGATTATAATCATAAGCTTACTTCAAAACATTCTAAAAGCTTTGCAGTATTTGTAAGTAATCTTTGGCCGTAAACGTTGCTCATTAAATGTTGTTTTTTTTTTCATTTTTTCGGTATGAAATAAATTACTTCTGTCCCGAACAAGGGGTGTTCCCTCCCTCCCCCCCCCCCATCATCATCAAAGGTGTTATATAGAGTTTTTGATTAAGAAAATTCACTTAAGACAGCGTTCATGAATTAACCAGCAAAGATAAAAAAGTTTTAATAAGGAAAAATCGCGGCAACGATTCCGATGATTCAAAGTCTCCATTATCTAAAAAATAAAATTGATTTGAAAATAAATTTTGAGACTGCAAAAGAATTAAGCAGAAGTAAGACACATACTGTCTTTAAAAGTCTTTCTAAAATTAGGATTTCTTTTTATTAAGTTCAAAGTAATGTTAACAAAACTTCAAAGTAATGTTAACAAAAATTGCAAAAAATAGTTCTAAAAACTGAAACCTGCAATTTGATGAAAAGCATTTTAAGCATAAAATAAGTCAAATTGTATTACTGAAAAGATGATTTGTTATAAGGTTTTACAATTCAGTATTTTATCCAAAGTACTTTTGAGCTTTAATTATAGTTGCTTATAAAAGTGTTTAAAATATTTTAAACATAAAAAAGCTATAAGAGTGATTTGAGAACTGGTGGCTAAATGATCTCAAACTTAAATCTGCTTGAATCATAAAGTTTTGTCGGTAAACAGAAATATGCCTTATTAAAACAATTTTTCCTTGCTGTTTCTCCATAAAAAAACCGTTGCACAGAACATTTAAGAGTGTTTTAAACTAAAAAAACAAGTATCTAATAAAATAAATAAATTGGAGTAGTTGGCGATAGAGAAGAAGCTTAATTGGGTATGTTGTAAAAATTTAACCAATAAAATAACTACTAAAATTATTTAATACGATTTTATTAATTCAAAAATTTATTGTAAGAAATTCAAAAAAACTTTTAAAATGTACTGATGCTTTCCCAGCTAACACAAAACGTTCAAGTACGTTCGTCAATCGTTTCGAACGTTTAAGAACGTGCTATGAACGTTCATAGAACGTTCTTTAACGTTTGCAATGTTCGTTGAACGTTTTGTGTTAGCTGGGTTCTATCGTAAATTTCTTTTCTACCACGAGTTCTGACTGCGCATAAAAGTAAAATTAGTGGAAAAAGGTAGCTTTCTCACAAAATGCTACTCCATTGTGCACTGTAGTAAAAAAAAAATTCAATTTGATGTATCTGCAACTTCTAAATGTAACCTCTAATTATATTTTCAGGTACTTATTTATTAATGAGTTAATGTCCAGCACTGTACTTTGTTTAAATATAAATCGCCCATAATAATAAATATTTGTTTCCATTTTATTACACAGTTAAATCGAGGTCCGGTTAAAAAAAAAAAAAAATCCCCTTCGTGTTTATATTTTTAAAATAATATGTTTTTTTAAAATATTTTATTTATATTTTTAATAAAACTTTAAACAGTTTACACAAGTTTATCTGTTCCATTTTTTTATCAATTTTCACCCAAATACTAAAACAGAAATTAAAGTAAAATAAAAGTTTAATTTTTTAATATTTTTAAAAAAATTCTTATGACTTTTTTTATCATGCTGTTAATATAAATGTTTTATACTTTTTAGTTTGTAGCATTTTTTTCAATGGTAGTGATTATTGCTTCAATGATAACATTTTGTTTGCAAACTGTGCCCAGATTTTTTAAATATCAGCGAACATTTGAGTTACTTGAATATATTTACTGTGCGATATTTACTGTAGAGTTCTTTACACGATTAGCTTGCTGCCCTTCTTACAAGTCGTTTTTTCAATCTATTTTGACCTATGTGGATTTTGTTTCAACTATTCAGTTTTACATATCTTTTATTTTGAAAACCAGTAGCTTTGACTTTTTATTTGTGACCCGCCTAATACGAATATTTCGTTTGTTTCGATTTTTTAAACAACTTAGCGGAATGCAAGTAATTGCTCAAACGTTAAAAGCAAGCATGAATGAGCTGATGCTATTGTTCTTGTTGGTGATGATTCCAATGGTTATTTTTTCCACACTCATCTATTACGCTGAAAAGGTACGTTTTCTTTTCCACTCTATTAAAATTATGCTCAGGAAAATTTAAAAAACGTCAGGTTTAATTTTCTATTTATGGCACATAAATTCAGCTATAAGAAAATAAAAAAAAACCTTTTTATTGATTGCTACCTTATTGCTTATAGAAGCCTTTTTTTATTCATTACAAATCACAAAATGCCTTATGTGCATTTATACAAAGTTTTAACTAATTATGTTCAACTTAATCTTTATGGACTATGTAACAATTAAAAATAAACTTGTTGCATTTTGAAGCTATTTAGATATCATTTGGATAAATTTCCTTATGACACTTTTAACAGTGTTTCATTAACGTACCATTTTTAATTTTATACTTTGGGTTTTTAAAACTTGTGGAGTTAAATAATTTTTTCTGTATAAACATTGAAAAGTGTCTTTTCATCAAAATAGTCATTAAAATGGCTTAATTAACTTTAAAAAATAAAGTTATAATAATGATATAATAAATATTTAAGATTCAAAGAACTATAACCAAAATAGACATGGCGCAGTGGTTAGAGTTTTGGCTCAGAATCAAGAGATTTCGATGCCGATTCTCTTGTCAAATCTTTTAGTTTTCATAAAGAGAAAACGAAAAGATTGATTTTCTTGAAGAGAAAACTAAAAGATTGGTTTTCTCTTCAAGAAATTGATTCAAGAGATTCAAGAGATTCAAGAGATTCAAGAGATTCAAGAGATTCAAGAGATTCAAGAGATTGGTTTTCTAAAAGAGAAAACCATGAGATTGGTTTTCTTAAAGAGAAAACTAAAAGATTGGTTTTCTTAAAGAGAAAACCAAAAAATTGGTTTTCTTGAAGTGAAAACCAAAAGGTTGGTTTTCTTGAAGCACCTTAATAAAACAAAAAAAAAAATACAGCAAAATTATTTAGATTGTTCTAATTGTTGAATTCAATGCTTACCTTGATTGAGCGAAGTGAAAATTTAAACTTGCTTTTTAAAAAATCTAAATTAAATTTTCTCCAGAAAATCTCTATTTTACCGCTAAACTTTATATTAAGTTTTTCCCCGTTAAAAGTTCATTATTGTGTACTTGTTAGATATATACATTTTATATATAAAAATACGTGGTATAAGATTAAGCATATTCTAAGCTATTCTATACAGACAAACAATTGCATTTGCCTGAAACTTTTGCTTTATATGTATGTGCAATGACTAATTTAACTTTTTTAACTTTTTTTTGAATTTTACTAATTTACTCAGCTACAAAAAAATAACATGTAATCCAGTAAAACCTGCTACACGTTTGTTCTGGTAGGCTCACTTTCTTAAAAAAAGAGTAGTAGAAGCTAACTCTGATCAAAAATACTCCATGCTTTGGACCTCTTTGTTAACTAAAGCCTAAAAAAAGACAGATGTAAACTGCATTCGGCAACTGTCATGAAAAAAAGTCTCGTAGGTAAAAACTATAAGGTTTAGCAGAAATATCCTGCTGGCCAGTCTTACACCTTTCCTTCATTGTAAAGGTTTGTCTAGATGTATCTATGTTTTAACTTGTTTTCTGCTTAAGATGATAAATACTAAGTCTTCTTGACTTAACTCAAAAATTTTTGTGTTGCCATGTAGTGTTTAAGCAACTCTTTCTGTTATCTCCTAACGAGGGTAAGCTCTAAAACTCGCTTTAATGATTCTGTGGCTGGCTAATAATAAGATTTTAAAAACTTTGTGTTAACACTCAAAGAGGCAAGTTTTATTACAAATTATTTGCTTCAGTGTGTGTTGCCTAGAACACATAATGAGCCCTTTGTTATGACTTTAGGTTAGTTAGCAGAACTTAGGCGACTGGATAGGTTATTACTATAATTGCCAAATATTATTTGTTTTTGTAACAATTAAAATTGCATCCATATTAATTAATAATACTAAACATGTAATTACCATCTAATTGCTTTAACTATCATTAAACATTAAATATTTGGGGTCTTTGAAGTAACTTATAATCTTTAGAATCTTGCCTCCAACAAAATTCACTAGAAATGCTTGCTTTTACAAGACAAAATTAAACTATTTAGTTTCAACTTCGGATTTCACTTTTGATGGTTATTATAAATTGATTAGATATGAATAGCCACATACTTGGTCTAAAAATCTACTTAATTATCAAACCACTTAATTTCATGAAGAATAAATTCTAAGTTATCTAGTTATTTTTCATTGTGCATTTGTTTAGCACCGCTTCACTCAATTAACTTTAACTTTTTTTTCTATTGTTTTTATAAAAATATGTTCCAAGACCCTTTTTAACATTATTTTATGATTAAATTTACAAAGCCCTTTTTTTTAATAATAATAACATTCAAATATTGTTATTATTGGTCAATTTAATACTTATTACAATGAATGTTTTGGCTCTAGTACCACTAACTATGCTGGCACTAAAGTTCATAATTTTTATCTCTATTACTCAGATAATTTCTTCTCTACCTTTTAAATAGATAATTAACTTTACGAACCGCTTTTCAAATAACACAAAATTTATTTTTGTTAGCTAGTTTGTGTCTTGTCTTGATGACCTATAACTTGTGCTTAGTTCTCTTTCGATCTGCTTAGGTAATTGAGACCTTATTATGATCTTATTAAAATGTTTACCATGTACTTCTTTTACATCGGATTCAAGCTTACAATCATCCCTATCTTTTTCGAGCAATTCAAAAAGGTCTGACGCTAAGGTACATCATTACAGATTACTAAGTCTCGTGTTTTGTCCCAGGAACTAGGTTGTGAAAACTTGAGAAAATTATTTAACAATGTTAGGAATTTCAAAGAAACTAAGTTAAGGCTATTTGTATATATTAAGAGTGTGACACTCTACTCCACAAAGAAGACTCTTTTTAACTTATAGTCGGTTTTTTAAGAAATATAGTCGGCTGGACGGCATTTGATACATTCTAGTTTTAAGCACTTTTTTAGGATTTACTATCAGGGACGATGTAAATAAAATAAGAGTATTTTATTCTTAAAATTATCCTTAATATAAATTAATCAAATAAAATTATCCCTTAAATAAAAATGAACAGTAAGCGAAGAGAAATCGAGGATTAATTAAGAACCATTTGTTAGAAATGAGATGAACTCCTAAATGTCTAATGACTAATATCTAATTACACTTATCTTTTGAGCTGTTTTGAGTAAGTTATGGATTTTTTATAAGAAGTTTTGAGTAAGTTATGGATTTTTTTTATTGAGGGTATAATAGGGAACCCTGTTGACGTGTTAATAGCATCAAAACTTATTTTTGAAAAGGATTTTTTTACCATCTTTTTCAAGCTTGTTAATATAAACTGTTGAGTGCTCCGCTTCAAACAGAACAAAAATACGAAAGTTATTCACTGAGTCTTTCTCATTACTTCTTCTTGTATTATTGTTCACTACTGACCTTTCATGGAAACTATGAATAACCATTTGCGAGAATCGATGTTTCCAAAACTACCATTACAAAATTTTTGAAAATTCATAAAATTAAAATTTTAATTTAAAAAAATCATTTGACATTTTATTGCATTTAATTGTACTATCCAAAAACTATTTTATTTAAAAGTCAATTACATCTTTTAATCAAATCAAATTATAAATGTGCATCTGCTTACACATTCAAAATAACATACTCTGCTACACACAAATGCAAATTTACACACACACAATAAAGTAAAACTTAACTTTTTTTAGAGTGCAAACACATTGTCTTCAGCAAGTATTCCAGAATACTTTTGGTGGGCAATTGTTACAATGACGACAGTTGGTTACGGAGATGTGGTATGTCATTTTACGCCCTGATTATTTGTTTCACTCCAAAAAATATCTATTTATCACTCTTCACTTTTTCGCAGTTACTTAATAAGAGTTGACTATACTTTTTGGTTTGTTGTTATATTACTTAATAAGACTGTAATTTTTGGTTTATTTATTATAGGTTCCCCAATCAATTTATGCAAAAATTGTTGGAGCAATGTGCGCATGTTCAGGCTTATTAATAGTTGCTCTACCAGTTTCGGTAATAGGAAGCAACTTTACATTATTTTACTCTTATGCGCAAGCTAGAATGAAACTTCCCCAAAGAAAGAACCTTTTAAGTGTGGATAAAAGTCTCGTTACTGATAATCAAGGTGTGATTTGAAAACCTCGCAGTAAATATAATTTGATTTTAGAACGTAATTTAATCCCGTATCTTTTAATTTATTCAAATTTATGCAGTTCTCGACATGCCTATTTGTTGTTTTAGAGGATTCCTTTTTTACTAAAATGCTTAATTTGTCAACATCAAGTCAAAAGCGACGTTACGCTATTCAACCACCAGTGTTTCAGCATTCTTTACAGGTTATTCTATCATCAAGATCATCCTTAAACTCTGTAATAGAAGATGCCACTTTAGAAGATGCTGCATTAGAAGATTCTCAAGTTGTTATTAAAGATTATAAAGTTTTAAAACTTTCTGAATGATAGCATGTAAAAAAAAGGCAATCGTGATTTTAATAAAATTTTATTTCATCTTCAAATATTTTTTTTTTTTATTATTGTAACTGGGTACCTAATTATATACAAACTTATAGTAAATAAAAATATTTTTTATTTTATGATTGGCAGTCATTTCATTACTGGAAATTATTTCCTTTTACAAAAATTGCATGTTACGATTTCTGGGTTAGCAATAAATATTTTTGCTGCAATTTCTGGGCTAACAATAAAGATAGTATGTTTTTAAAATTAACTTAAATAAGACTTAAACTTACTCATTAAACTTACTTAATAAAAAATATGACTAAATTTTCCTCAAAGACTCCACATTATTTACTTTAACTTATATGCTATTATTTTTAAAGTCATCGTTTTAAATCTAGCGCTGCCAATTGAGATAAAGTTTAAATATTAGCATTTAATTTTATAGCTGAACAAGTGTTTGTACATTACATACATTTATACATACATACACACATACACACATACATACATACATACATACATACATACATACATACATACATACATACATACATACATACATACATACATACATACATACATACATACATACATACATACATATATACATAAATACATATATACATATATGCATATATACATAAATACATACATACATATATACATACATACATACATACATACATACATACATACATACATACATACATACATACATACATACATACATACATACATACATACATACATACATACATACATACATACATACATACATACATACATACATACATACATACATACATACATAAATACATATATACATACATACATACATACATACATACATACATACATACATACATACATACATACATACATACATACATACATACATACATACATACATACATACATACATACATACATACATACATATATACATAAATACATATATACATATATACATAAATACATAAATACATACATACATACATACATACATACATACATACATACATACATACATACATACATACATACATACATACATACATACATACATACATACATACATACATACATACATACATACATACATACATACATACATACATACATACATACATACATACATACATACATACATACATACATACATACATACATACATACATACATACATACATACATACATACATACATACATACATACATACATACATACATACATACATACATATATACATGCATACATACGTATATACATACAAAATACATTCTTTAATACACAAAAATTCATACAATAAATATTCTATTTTTTTTAACTTAATTTACTTGATACAGAACTTTTTTGGAGCCGAATTATTAATATAATATATAATATTCGCGTATATTGTATATTATCATGAAAAGGTTCGTACATAAAATGACTACTTGAATATGAATAAAAGTGTTGTCTTGAATGTATTGGTATTTTAATATCTTATTCCGCGTGAATTCAATAATTTGACATAGTTCATTGGCGTTTTAAAAGGGTCCTTCGTATTTCAAAGAAAGTAAGGCATGATGACTAACTTTCTTTAAAACACAAAGGTCCCTTAAAAACGCCGATAATGGAAAAGTTATGACTTTTCTATTAGGTTGAGATCAGGTAATTTAGCTGGTTACTTCATTACTTCTGAAATGTTTTGCGTAGTCTTTTGGCCTTATGTTCCGTTTCTAAAACACTGCTTTTATTTATTCATTTTACTAATCAACATACAAATTACTTGTTAATGTTATACTTGATTTTTTTTTTCCTAAAAGATTATAATCTTTTATAATATGTTCTCTAAAAGTTAAACTAGTCATAATGAAAGATCATTACTCCAAAAAAATGATTGTAAGGTAGTAATACCTAATATTATACAGTTCTCTCACCAGAACGGTGCAATCTGTAATCTCTCAAATAATTATAATTTCTTATAATAAGATACCAACCATAATCGTTGTTGTTTTTTTTCAGTAAATATAATGCAGTTGCTAACGCGTTTGTGAAAAAATAACTACATGAACAAACCCACTGCGCAAAAGCTATACTTATAAAAAAAGAGGTTTAAGAACAACTAAAAAAAAGGAAAATTAAAAAAGGTAAATTTGCTAAAGTGTTGTAAAGTAGCATATCATTTGATGCCGGTTTTAAAAGATAATTAAGGTAACATTGAAAAAAATTTTTTTTGGCTTTTTTGCAATCAAAAATTATTATTAATATAATAAGATATATCCAATTCATTTTCAACATAAGTGTCCGTTAGACGCTGTGTTCTATAATAACCCTACAATTTTTTTAAATCATTTTTTAGTTTACTTAAAGATTATTTACCTTGTGTGACAGATATTGGCATTGTGTTAAAAATTCGAGTTAGTATCCATATAGATTGTAAAATAAGCTATATCCAATCGGCAAAACTAAAAAAAATGTTACGGATGGTTCTGTTGCGTTGTATAAAACAATCTAAAAAAAAAAGAGTTATACTTGTCAAATATAGGGTTTACGTTCCGTGAAACTAAAAATATTTATTTACCAAAGCACGAGTTAAAGTAATAATGGTTTCATCGTTACAAAAGCGTAGTATAATACTTAACTGAATTTCCATAGGGAATGTGAAACCAGTGATAAAAGCACACATCCTTTAAATTTGATATTAAAACCTCTTAAAAAAATGTTCAACTTAAGAAAAACTACCTGTGAAAAAAACGCTTTTTTGGTTTTCGCCTGCGATAAATATGTGTCTATACAGATTTTTACTCTAAAAGTGAAAATATTTGTGCTGGCTCTGTAAACCCTTTGAGTACATTTGGCTGAGTAGGCTTAAACTGTGTCCAGAAGTGAAAAAATGAGTGGCCGTCGCGCAGTGTTTAGAGCGATTGAATTAGAAGCAAGAGATCCAGAGTTCGAATCAAGCTCTGAGAAAATTTTGCGCCATAAAAAAAAAAAAAGACGAAGACTTATTTAAAATATTAAGATGTAAAATATCTTTCATAAAATTGTCTATTATTTTTACTATGGTACTTCACAAGCTTTTATTTTGCCTGTTTTTGATCATTTAACCGGATAAAGAAGGATCTTGAAGAAACAGCTTTCACGATACCAATTTAGCTTTAATAAAATATTTAAGCTCGGCGTTAAAGATATTTACTTTAAGCCAATGTTCAAAAATCTCATGGAAAAAAACTGCATTTTCAAGTTCAAAGATTTGCTGTCATGTCATCATTCGTTTTGCTTATCATGGATCGATTTTCTAGTTGAAACTAATGCAACAACCTAACGACACGATTGATTTACCACGGTCATTTTGTAATTAGTTTTATAACGACTATCTGAACTGACAATTTGGTTTCCGAAAGCTTGTAAAACTTCCATCTAGCGGGCTGCAGCTGAAAAATAAAATAAAAAATCTTAAGTTTTTATTTATTTATTACAGTAGTTAATAAAACTTGAACATAAAAAATTCAACATTGATGAAGGAAATCAACATCAGGTTTTCCTATTCTGAAAATCAACTTGATTGCAGCCGAATTAGCATCATAAACATACTTTTTAAAAGAGTTCACTGTAGTTCCATTAACTAAATTCTGCGTTAACTTATTCTTACGGTTTACAACACAGTTTGTAAAAAAATGCTGAGGTTCTAGATATTCATTGTTACGTTAAGGCCCATTTTTTAAAATCAGGCCATTTTTTTAAATTATATTTTGATTGACTCTAAATGTAGAACATAAATTTCAACCTACCGTTAACGTTGAGCGATTTTTTATTGTAGTATATATTGATTTGACCAGGCTTGCACACAAAACTCTAGATGCGGTTTTATGTATAATTGGTTAATTTTTTTTCATAGCTGAAGAGCTCTGATACCCTAATAATAATAATATCCGACACCCTAATAACTTCTCGAGTCAACCAAGCATTTGATTGCCAATCCAAGCCGCTGCTTCTACTTTTACTTTTGCTTTGAAGTTGTTGGATACTAGTGCTCCAAGATTACGCTCAATGCATATTGGAAATAGATTGCAACCGTTAATGTTAAAGTAAACCAAGGCGTTAATATTTTAATTTAGTTTTTCTGATCAATCAACTTCCAATTTAGTTTTTCTGAACAATCAACTTCCGTTACTTTACTCTTCTCCACGATGAAATTCATTAGGCAGTTGTATGAGCAACATCAACTCTAGACAGCTCTGTCAATGTCCACTTCTAATTTCTCATAAGCAGACATCCGCAGACATTATAGACGCAACTAAAGATTGAGGACTCAAGCACAGAGCATTTTTATCACAGAGCACCGCGGGAGAGCATTTAACAGGAAGTTCACGCCTCTTTCCGTACCAATGTCGCTTGTATACATAGTTGACTAATTGTAAACTTTTAATTGTATACATAGTTGACTGAATTGTAAACTTTTTTTTTTTTTTTTTTTTTTTTACCTTAGACACTTGAAGACATTGTAAACACATTGAAAATAAAAAAAAAGTTAGCACTTCTAAAAATTTTGTTTGTTTTTCGTCTTCTGGCGCCCTTTATTAACTTGGCGCCTTTTGCGCGTATGCCTTTTTTTTTGCATTTTCCTCTCTGCGGCTCTGGATCTTGTGGGAAATGCTTTTTTCCATACAAACACAAACAAAAACTGAAAACCTGATGTTGATTTCCTTCATCAATGTTAAACTTTTTAACATTGAATTTTCTCATTTATTCTTTTTTTTTTTCATATGGTTAGTACTCAACTGAAACTTGTTTATTATTTTTTTCTTTAATATAAATTTTTTTGTTTAAAAATATTACAATAACCGATATAATTTACTATTTTACATTTGTAACGACAAGACTTCTAGAAGATCATGAGGATCTTGTCATGAAGCCGTTTAAAATATAAGGTTAATCTTTTTTATAAAAATACAATATCTATTGTGAAATAATAATACACCTTTATGCAAAAATATTTAAATACCCAGATAAAATGTTTAAAAGCCAAGATAAAATGTTAA